AATTCATAGAAAATTTGGAATATCCACAGAAAATTCCAAAAATTCAGACATTCATATGGAAAAGGCATAGAAAATTTGGTAAAAATTCAGAAAATTCACAAATAATTTGAAAATTTCAACATTCAGCTAATACAAAATATGACAAATTAAAAAAACTGAACCTTGGATGATTGGAATATTTTACATAGGCATACATTGAAATGACAGATAAAGCAAGCTAAAACATTAGTGTGATGCCTTTTCAACAACTAATGTGCAATCATTAACAGTTGGCACACAAATAGACATACATGTAAACAAAGGTTAAGTGGAAAATATATAATCCTTGGAATTTTCAAATAATCATCTCGGTGCAACTGGTCTTAATCTTTACTCTTGTCACTTGTAGATCCCCAAAACTGCAATTTCACAATAGACAATCTGTCAATTTTTTTCTCAATTAATGGTTGCAAATCAAAACACAAGAAACAACAAGGGACAAATTTCGTGAATCATCGTTGAAGCGCTAATGTATTGCATCCACAATTATGCTTCCAGGATTCTATACAAGAATTATGCATCCAGAATTTTGAGGGCTATTTTCATGTGCTAGACAAATGTACTTTCTACATGCATACTATATTATGTTACCAGAATTCTACAGTACTACTCAGGTAAGTTATTCATGCTATGCTGCATACAAAGTCAAAATTCCTGCATCATTTCCCATTGCATACAACCAGATAAATAACCACCAAACAATTGCAAACAGAGTTTTTAATGGACACTTAACAACATTGGAGACAGGAAGATCATTAAAAACTGATAGTGATTCAGAATTATGTATTGCTTCTAGAATTCTACACCAGAATTATGCATCCATAATTTTGAGAGCTATTTTGATATTTTTCATGTATTCCAAAATTCTATGCAGTACTAGTCAAGTAAGTTTTTCATGCTATGTTGCATACAAGTAAGACATTCTGCATCCTAGGGAACTTGACATAGAAAATTCTGCATCATAGGGAACCTGACAACAATAATATCTCAAATTCTCAATCAACCAGAACTTAACATGATATTTCCCATTGCAAGTATAGCAGGGACCAATACGAAAAATAGTTCATCATCCTCTAGTAAAAACTTTTTAATTTGCTCGTTTGCAGAGCCCATCACTTTTTTGTTAGAAAATAAGACTAAAATTACAACAAAAAATAAAACAACTGATTAGTAAAAAAAATGAGCAAGATGGGAATCATGGCAAACACAAAAGGGGCAAGAAAGAATTATGCAAGACAGCATGAGCAGGTCTGCCACTAAAATTGGCGGAGCAATACTGTACGTAAAAACATCTCAATACGGTCACTAATTCTTCTTGCAATAAGAGCAGGAAGAACACCAAAACAGGTTTAATTGCAACAATTTCTTTGATGTGCGATGGTTCACTGTCTCATATTCAAAACACAATTTCAATTCAGCCATGTTATATACTACACTTCAGTGATTGACTAGCACAGACAACAGTTAAATCAGCTAAAATACTTCAATGAACAGCCTACTAAAAAATCTTATCTGTACAATGTACTTTGCAAACAAAAATCATCATGCCATATACTGTGCAAACAATGAATAATAACATTATTAGGGGTACACATGCAGATGCAGTGCAACACGTACTTGTCCACTACTATATTAGTACTCATCATGTCTGCATATAGCTATAATAGTACCCATGAGTGCTGTGCACAATACACTGTACAAGATATGAAATCAACTGAATCCTGAATTTCTTATCATCTCTGATGGCATATGCAAAACTTATAGCTAAGCTGCCATTAATTAATTAGACATACTGTTATGTGGATCGATCTTTCGGCGTATCGATGAAATGAACAAGTCAGTGCTAGCTGTATATAAGCTAGTAATTATATACAGCAAGACAAATCTCTGTGATACTACTTAACAGCAAAACAAATCTAGCAAGAAGGAGATAGATAGTCATAATCATCTCTTGCAGTGCATTCTCACAATCCACAGACCAGAAACTCCATTGAACCCTAGCACCTGCGTGTACCCATCCCTCCACTGATTCAACGCTCAAGAACAACATAAATCTACCGGGACAACACAGAACCAAGCTTACAGTGGGGAAGAAACTACCGGAGCAAGAATTCTTTGTGCGCGTGGAGAAACAAACCAAATCAAGAAACAAACCAAATTCTTTGCTGCCTTGGATCTGCGCCTCAATGCCTCCTCCGCCGGTGCGTGGCGTCGCCTTGGATCTCCCCCCTGTCCTCCGCCGGTGCTGTGAGCCCGTGCTACCGGCGCGCCGCCGCGTCACCGCCGCGCTTCTGTGCCTGCGATGCGAGAGATGAGACCGAACGGAGGCGGAAACCCTAGAGGAGGAGGAGAATGGGAACCCTAGGAGGAGGAGAATGGCTTACCCTTCTCGCCGGAGGAAGAGTCCGGTGGTGGCGCGTCTCGCCGGAGGAGGAGGCACGGCGGCGCCCGCTCTTGGTCGCCGCTTTTGCGCGAGAGAGAGAGCGGCGGATCGGGAGAGGAAAATTTCCTGACCTCGAGAGGTCGGGTTCCTTTCCCTGGGGTTTCCCCGCGGATTGGGCCGGGAAATCCCTGCCTCGTGGGCTTCCAAATGGACCAGAAATAATACCCGTGGCAATTTCCCCCGCGGGCCTTTCTCCCAGGGAATGGGCCGGGATCCCGGTGGTATCCCGGGCTGCCAAAGGAGCCCTAAGGGGTTGGGTGGAAGCTTCGAATTCCCGTGTTCCTTGAAGAGGAGTTGATGGCATATTGGCATGAGAGGTGGCGCACGTGGTGGCGGCGGGATTCTCCGTCGGTGATGAACGCCGGCCTAGTGTTGCACCCTCGCGCCGCATGCCCACACCTCTACCATGACGTGTGAGGTCAGCCCTGTGGGCTGTGGCCCTCGTCCGACTCCCGCAAGGTCGCGCCCTAGCGCTTACTTCCTCCATAAAAAAAAAAGCAATCTAGATAGGGATTTGACCTTATCTAGCATAATGAGTCTTGACAACCTTATGTCTAGATTTGTTATCCTAGGTGGTATCAAATCATCACCTAGATTGTTTTTTTTGGATGGAGGGAGTAGTGCCTCTCGAGCCCTCACCTGCCACCTCCCAGTATGTTCAGCTGCTTAATGTGTAAGGAGAAATGAAACCGTCAATGTACAAGAAGAGCAAACTTCATGGCGGTCATTTTCTGCGCCTCATTATTGAGCTTCGCTTATTACTGTGAAATGCCTGAATCCATGCAAAAACATGTTTCTCAGTCATCGTCCACCGATTTCGTCTGATCCCAGTTTCCACTGCAAAGGTACTACTTGTAATTATCTCATATACTGTATTATTTGATTGATAGAAACTGCAGTACCTACTCTTCTGGTAGCTTTGTTCTCATCCCTTTGGATCTTTCATGTGTATATAAGGATTAGACTATATGGATTTGATGTGATCTGCCAACCAGCCATAGGTGAATGACGATGATGGTAGCTTCACACTGCTCTTACCCTGTTGTCCAAACCGATCTGCCATGAGGCCCATGAACAGAGTACATGCATCTCTGTTTTTTGGGGCACTTTTACATGTCGTTTACAATTTGAGATGATCAGTTTCCATCCATATGGTCACTGCTCCATATAATTGGTTGTGCGGCTTCCACCTAATACTACCTTTGTGTTCAGGAATTGAAACCTGGACGAAGGAGTGCACAAATCGAGGATTGATTATTGGAAAAAGAAAATATCGATGCCTTTTTTTTTTGCTGCGACTGTTCTCTTCCGAGCTTCATGAAGACTTAGGAAAAAAGAAAAAAATGGTGAGTCAGTCACAGATGAAACTACTGGGTTGGAAACAACTACTGCATATGTCTGAATTTTTTGTTTCAGTTACAGGTATTTGGTTTAAATAATTGAAGGAATTCAACAAGTAAGTTCTCTTTGGTTCAAATTTGATGAGTATTTCTGTTCCTATGGAATCGGTTAGTTTGCTGCCATGAAGCTATTCAATGATTTTCAGCTTTTGGTCTGTCAAGACATTCAGGTAAGGCTGCTGTTAATAGAGTAACTTCATCCAGCCTGAAACAATGGTAAACAAATAATGTTTTTCCTCTCTTGTTAATCATAATATCTTAGTGTGCAAGTAGCACTGATTTATAATTTGACATGATCAGAAAATTTTGCTTTTTAAGAGCTCGCTCTGAGGAACATGATTTACTACTCAGCTAAGACTCCACATCATATTATATATACATAACATACTTCAATATCACATTCTTGCGGTTAACAGAAAGTCAGAAACTAGATTGAGCTTACTGCTAATGAGGTACTTGTTGAAGTAGTTGTACTGTACGATAAGGAATGAAGACATGGCATATGCGATGAGTTTATACTTTCAAGAATAAATTAATTTTCTAATTTTTCTTAGCATTTTGTTTATTGAAGCATGTAATTAATTTTGACAGTTTTGTCGACTGATTAGTTATAATAAAAACTTTTTCAATACATAACGCCTCTTTGACAATATATTTTAGTTTTCTATTTGTTTCATTTGATATTTGGACAACAAGAGCAAATAATTCTTCCAAAAGCTTATGCATATCCAATTACATTCTTTCTGCAATGCTATTGGAATAGATGAACACATTAGATAATTATGAGAGAAAACCTTTTTCTTATTCCCCATTGCACAAGCAACGTGCAGGGTATCATCTAGTTTCTAGATATGAGACAATACTAATCGTCACTATTCATCGAATGGGTATATATGGTCAAAGTTGTTTGACTTATCTTTGATGATAGTAGCATGGCACCGACATAATAACAGTGTTCTCATCTTCTTTTTGTCTTTTCAGTCTGTTATTCAATTTATATGCTAATTTGACAGGTAGCAGGAGATACCAAAACTTTTAAATTTTGGTACCTTTGGTACCTCTCCAGTACCGTAAAATTTTGTCAGCAGTTTTTGGACTTCAAAACAACCAGTTTCCAATGTTGAGTGAATAAGGAGTTACTAGCTTTTCCATCAAAAGGAATTCTGTAAATTCAACTCCTCTTACAAAAATCTGTTTAATGCGGAATACTGTATTGGAATAGAAACAGAGCAAAAATTGATTGATATTGTAGTTGAGGGCACAAGTGGCTTTAAATCAAGGCACAAGAAACCAGCCCATCTTAGACATGCATCCATCCATGAAGCTGCAGAGCCTGCTCCTGAAGGCTGTATTCCATATAAGTAATGCAATGATGCCCCAAAAGCCAATGGCGAAGGACCCAGCAACGAAGGACCAGTAGATCAGCGGCGTGTCCATGGTATCCGTTGACAACAACTGATGCATCTCATCATCGCTATCATGTGAGCAGTTCGAGTTCATTGGACAAATCTTGTCAACAATTTCTCCACAGAGGTTCTCATTCCCTTCGAATGCCGTTCCGTTCAACGTACAAAACTGTGATTCAAAGGGAATCTCACCGGAGAGATTGTTGTATGCAACACTGAAGAAGCTCAGGAAGGAGAGGTTGGCTAGCTCCACTGGGACACTCCCATTGAGATGGTTGTGTGAGAGATCCATGCTCTCCATTTCATGCAGGTACATGAACGTGTCAGGTATCGAACCAACAAGCTTGTTGTGTGATAGGTTGAGCGATTTGAGCTGCAGCAAGAACCCAACAGAGCTAGGGATGGGTCCAGATAGCCGATTCATCGACAAATCTATGCCTATCATGAGCTCTAAAGGCATTCCCATGTATGTCAAGCTCTCCCCTTTCGTCGTGAATTCGACATATGTCTGTCTTCTCTGTGTGATGTTGCCAAATGGGTCATCCTCAGAGTTCATTGGCAGCTCTGACCAGAAAACACTGTATAAGCAACCTGTATCTCACCAGAGAACCAATTATTGGAAAGATCTATGAAGTGGATATGGTTGTTGAGGCAAATATCCCAAGGAATGACACCATGAAACTGGTTTCCTCCAAGGAGGAGAGCACCAAGCTTCTCAAAGCTGAGGAGGCCTACTGGGATTACACCAGATAAACGGTTATTCCTCACATTGAGATTCTCAAGGTTGGTGCAGTTCGTAAGTAGAGGCGGCAAACGACCAGATAGTTGGTTGTTTTCAACGCTCAGGTGAGTCAACTGCCCTAGGCTCCAATGGAAGGGTGGCATAGGCCCAGTTAGGTCATTGTGTGAGAGCAGAAGGGATGTCAAAATGGATGCATTCCCTATTAATTCCGGCGATATCTCCCCATTGAGCATGTTAAATGACAAGTCAAGAAACTGCAACGATGACGCGGCTTCTGCTAGTGATGGAACTCCGCCATTCAGCATGTTGGAAGACATGTCAAGGTACTTTAGATATGGAAATAGACTTCCAAAGTTGTATGGCATTTTCATTGATATCCTGTTGTCAGACAGATCAAGCACCTCCATTGATGACGTAACGTTGGCTCCGAGATTGCCAGTGTCGAGGAAATCCATGCTATTACCGCGCAGCAAGAGGAAACCTAAAGAAACGTTATACAACAACATCCAAGATGGGATCCTCCCCTGGAGTGAACATATGGAGAGATCAATCCCAGAGAGGCTCACTTGGGCTGACAGAAAAGTTGGGATGATCCCGTTGCTTCTCTTGTTGACAATACTATTGCTTAGATTCAAGTATTCGAGCTGGAACAACGGTGTCCACCTTACAAGCTCCGTTTCGATTTCTAGTTTGCAGTTGTTCGAGAGGACGATGCTGTGGAGCTCAGAGTTGTTAGCCAAAGACGAGAAGTCAAATGTGCCAGTAAGATTGTTGTCCCCAAGATGTACTTCTTCTACTTGGGTTAAGTTGCTTAGTAAATATTGTCCAATCTCACCTGTGAGAAAATTTGATCCCATGTCCAAGTATACCAGGTACTGCAATTTCCCCAAGCATGGATTAATTACTCCTTGTATCATGTTAAAACCAAGGCTTAGATATTTTAGTTGATGGAGGCCACAAATACCTGTGTACATTGGAGCCGGAGCCACATGTTACTAATTGATATAGTTTCAACATGCGAAAATTAAAAAGATCAAATGATGAGTTGATTTGAAGGAATTGACCTTCTATATTTTCCTTTTAAAATACAGGTTTTCAAAACCAAAAAACAACATGTATACTTTCTAAAAATGTTTTTCCAAATTCAAATGAAGGGCTTATTCGGATTGAAGGAAAAGAAAAAAGGAAGGATTAATTCCAACAAGTGCCATTCAGTTTGTAGGAACTAGGAATAGGAAAACCAAATGATTTTTTTTCCTTTCCCTCTAAGTTGTAGAGAGAAAACATATGAAAATTTCTATCCACTCAAACCTTTTCGAAATTCCTATGGATTGATATGTGTATACATTCCGATTCCTCCACTTTTCATATTCCTATGACTTCAAATTTCTCCAAACCGAACAAGCCCGAACTAGTCATTGTAAGTCTTCTATGGAAGCGAAGTCACTGTCACTCCTTTAGTTTCCTCTATAAAACAATTTGTGGTATTTCCTCCATTACGTTATTTTTTTTACAATGCATAGTTTGAACATGAACTTGTCAGAGGGGAATAGGAGATTAGGAACCGGGCACCCGATTTTGGGGTGTACTTCCCTGCTGCACTGTTTACTCTATCTGCATGCTGTAGAATGCCTATTTTAGATTATAGAGGCCCACACTAACCCCTCTATTGTATCCACATGTGAAACTATAACTCATTATCAAGCTTTCAATGATGTTTTCTCGTAAATTACTTATCCAATCTATGACATGATTAAACTGTGATATTCATTGACAGCTAAATTTTTATAACAAGATCTTACTCGATTATATGTTATATGTGTCCCAAAAAATTGAGTGTTTTTTTATCATTTATAGAAAATTATTTTGTCACTTGGTCAAATGCTTCAATTCAAATTATCAACGGTTTTAGTCATGCAACACTAAAAAATACTGATTATAGCACCAACAACTACACAAAACATTAAATCCCAACGAAGGAAACACCAAAAAATTATGAAATATATGATATATTTGCAAATAGTTATTTTGTTGAAACATTTATATATCAGTCAAGAAACATTAAGTGTAACTAGAGAAATATCACAAAAATACTTGCTAGAATATTGAAAAGAACACTGTGAGCAACATTTATAATAACATACTGAAATATCAAGGAATACTTATTGAAACATACAAATAAAACCGTGTGCAACTTTTAAAAATATTGACTGCAACAATAGAAACAAAAAAAAATAAATATAATCATATGAAATCTTACTGTAAATATTTTATTGCAAGAAATACAATAATGCAACCGGACTTTAGATCGGACAAGTGTAAGTGATTTAAGAGAAAAACCTGTTCAAAATTTGCTACAAGGTTGGCATTTTTGCCTAAGATGGAGAACAAGAGGGAAAAAAAGGTGGGGCAGTGGAGGTGCCTAATATTAGTGATTCCATTGGGTGACCCTTGGAAAGCATTTTTCTTATTTATTAATCAGGTAAGATGATCAAGCGTTCATTGGCTAGCATGGGAAAACCCAGATAAAACTGAAGCCACACATTTATGTGGGATCAATTTCTCTATAACGGATGATTTTCTTACGACTTGTGATCGATGGTTATTTCGCTTTTTATAGTTTTGTGTTCTATGATGTACCGTGTGCGCTTGTGAATTTGATTAATTTGGGCATATAAATTTTTTTGATGGAATATTGCTATACTTTACAAATGATACTAAACCATATATATGAAACTGGTTGTATATTATCGATACAACTATATTAAAAAAAGATTGAGAAGTCGATCATACCGTTGAGCTCATGTACTTTATTGCTGGACATGTCAATAACCTGCAGGGACGTCAAATTGGAAATCCAGCCTGTGGTGGTGATCTCATTCCCGGCTAGGTGCAGCTCCGTAAGTGCGGTTAAGTTGTTGAGAACAGCACCGACAACCATGTCTGTCAGCAGAAATAGTGGTATATGTTAATGTCCTAATCATTAGTTAATCATTTTTATTATATAGAAGACGCACGTATATTTGTGTACTTAGATTACATACACACAAAGTGTAAGCTCTTAGTCCCTCCGTCATATAAAATAAGAGATTTATCTATTCCATTATCTAAAAATATAAAATAAGAAAATATAAAATAAGAGATTTTGGAGGGATATACACATCTTACGACTATGAATCTGGACATGCTCATGTCCAGATTCATAATCTTAGTGTCACATCCCTCTAAAATCACTTATATTATGGGCCGGGGGGAGTATATCTATTAACATATACCATCCTCATTCTTTAATATATAACGCTGTGACTTTTTATAAACGTTTAACCATTTAAAAATTTTGTGTAAATATAAAAAAATTAAATCATGCTTAAAGAAGATTTGACAATAAATCAAGTCTAAAAAAATAAATGATAACTAAACATTTTTTTTAGAAAAACGAATGATAAAAATATTAAACAAGTCAATAGCTTGATATATTTAAGAACGGACGAAGTAATGAAAGAGGAATAAGACCGTATTTAGGTGGGACTAAACCTATCAGATCGAATATTTGGATACTAATTATAAATATTAAACGTAGACTATAAATAAAACACATCCATAATTTTGGACTAATTCGCAAGATGAATCTATTAAGCCTAATTAATCCATAATTAGCATACGTGATGTTACAGTAAACATTCTCTAATTATTGATTAATTAGGCTTAAAAATTTTGTCTCACAAATTAGCTTTCATTTATGTAATTAGTTTTGTAAGTAGTCTATATTTAATACTCTAAATTAATGTCTACGTTACTTAGACTAAAGTTAAGTCCCTGGATCCAAACACCACCTAAGTCACTAAAATTCAATTGAAAGCGTGACATGTCCCATCAACTTATTCTCAAATGGAAATCTTTATAATCCATCCTCTATCAAACCCCCCTGATGATAAGAGAGACGGGAAAAAACAATATAAATATTACATCGGGCTTAAACAAAATCTACTATTTTATATATGAATTTAGACATTTGCAAATATAAACTTAGTATTAACTTACCTGAGCGATTAGCAGCTGAAAAGCTAGTGATTTGATTGCCGGACAGGTCGAGCTTCTCAAGCGCCGTGAACGGCGCAAGCACGGCGGCATCCACGGCGCCGGCGATGCCGACTCCAGGGAGCGACAGCGACACGACACGGCGGCCACCAGCTGCTGCTTCTCGTCGTCGGCCGGCGACGCTGCATGTGACGCCCTCCCAGCGGCAGCAGTCCACGGCCTCGTCCCAATCCAACCGTCCGCTGGAGGAGAACTCAGGGCCGATGAGCGGCTGGATGCGGCGTAGGAGGGCGTGACGCTCGCCGTCGCTGCAGCTCCGGCACAATTTGGTCGTCGTCGTCGCCAGTAGGAGAAGCAACGACGACAGAGTGGTGGAAAGTGTCGGCGCCGTTCGCCGGCGGCTCCACCACGGCGACCGTGCTCGTGTCGACATAACGAGATGGTTTCAATTTGGCCCGGTTTAATTCCCACGTAAAAACTATTCACGCTGTCATATCGAATGCTTGACACATGCATGGAGTATTACATATAGATAAAAAAATTTATACAGATTGCGTGTAAATCGCGAGATGAATCTTTTAAGTCTAATTAGGCCATGATTTAACAATGTGTTGCTACAGTAAATATTTGCTAATGAAGGATTAAGTAGGCTTAATAAATTCGTCTCACAGTTTACAGGCGGAATATGTAATTTGTTTTGTTATTAGACTACGTTTAATACTTCAAATGTGTGTCCGTATATCTAATATGACATGTAAAAACTTTTCACCCCGGTCACCAATATCACAATCATGGTCGTCCATCTCAAAGTATGTCCACTAGCAGGAGTCAATTGACTGATTTTTCTATACAGATAACCTCTTACCCGGGGCACACGTTCTGCAAGCAAGCATCCGGCTGTGTTCTCTAATAAAATCGAGGATACCAGTAAAAATATGAGCGATGTTTCACCATATTATAGAAAACAGTTTAATCATAGTTAAACATTTCACTCTCACACAGGGAACATTAAGATTTCATAATTTGAAACATTAAATAGATCCACAAGAACTTGAAGAAAAAAAAGTGAAACATCATCAACACACCCGATGCAACATTCCGATCCAACTTAAAAAAAAATCAAAATACACCGGGTTTGTTGGTGGTGTTTAAAAAAAAAAAATTCGCAAAAAACTAGAACAGTAGAAAAATCGCAAAAATATACCTACTGGTGCATCTCTATGATCCACTGCTTGCCTTGTACAACTCGCTTAGCTGGCATGGATACTCCAGTGAAGTGGGAGAAGCCGTAGTATGGTTCCAAAGCAGTGAGCAAAGGAGGTTTCATGGCTATGAGAAGGCAGGAAGCACACAAACAATCCCATTACAGTGGAATGAGTGGATAAGAACGAAGATTAGGCTGTGGATCCCTAAAAGTCTCCTCCAGTCTTGCACGGGGGAGGATGTACATGTACCAATGAAGCACCCGATCTTTCTCTTGCGCATCGGGCGCTTGAGAGGAATCGTTTTCGTAACATTGGTTGGATGGGTGTAACGCCCTCCCAAATGCGAGTGTTTGGGAATGCGAAACAACAAAAAGCCCACGTGCGGCCCACGGTTCATTTCCTCTCTCTCTCCCCACACATTATCATCCTCTTTCTCTCACACCGTTTAACGTCAACCTCATCCACACACGTGAAACAGCGAATGCAAGAGGAAACGCAGGCGGCCACGACGGCTTTCCTCCGTCTAGCTCACTTTGGGATGTTTCCTCTGATAAGATCGGTTTAATAACCAGGTCAACTTTTTAAGGTCCCACCGTGCCACCCGCGCTGGCTAGGGCTGCCAAGTATGCATCACCCTTACCCTTATCCACACCCACACTAGTTGGAGAGGGTATTTATAAGGAGAAATTACCCATTTGAGTTTTGGATAGGGGAGGGTAATACCTATTATTACCAATGCTACCGATACTCATTTCATAGCCATCATATGAAACTCGGGCCCAAAATTTTTAAATTCGTATTCACACTATAAAATCTTACCAAATTCAGTTCAATTTTCCCCAACAGATTACGTTCAAGAATTTAAATTTTGCACAACCTGTAATTGAATCGATTGCTATTTCAAAATTAAACTTGTATGGACTAAAAGGACACTCAAAATTTTTGGCAAAAATCTTCGAAATCCCTAAAAAAAATCTCCCAATTTCTCCTTTTTAACTTTTCTTCCTCCTAACTTTTCAGCTCTACCTGTTCTGTGTAACTGTAGCCGTGTTTAGTTCAATTTCAATTTTTTTTAAGTATATGAACACACATTTGAAGTATTAAACATAGACTAATAATAAAACAAATTACATATTCCGCCTGTAAACTGCGAGACAAATTTATTAAGCCTAATTAATCCGTCATTAGCAAATGTTTACTGTAGCACCACATTGTCAAATTATGGTGTAATTAGGCTCAAAAGATTCGTCTCACAATTTATATGCAAACTGTGCAATTGGTTTTTTTCGTCCACATTTAATGCTCCATGCATTTTTTTAGATAATGGAATAGTCATCCCGGCCTTTGCTCAAAGAGAGCTACAGCTCATTATTACAATCTAGCACTCTAAAACGAGTGTAGTTCAGAAATGATAGAAGAAATGACCATACAAAGGTAAATTTAACCAAAACAAGATCAGGAGAACACATTATTGAAGTCTATTTATGAATCTCCATCCATAATTGGCAAAAAGCTGCATAACCGTCATCTCAAGCTTACGACATGCAGCTTTTAAAAGCTCACCTTCTTCATCACATCTTTGTAGTTGTGCCCAAAACCGGAGCCAATAGGTTACCCTGAAAATTACCTGCATATATGTAACCGATGGTGATTTATCAAAAGTCATATCATTCCTACACAACCACAGAGCCCAACAAATTGTAGAAGCTCCCACCAATATTAATTTAGTCTTTTTCTTGTCCACCCCCAACAGCCACCCATCAAAAATACGAAATATGTTAATAGGGGTGGTATAGACTAAAAGAGAATTGCACAGTTCTTCATAAAAACTTTGCCTAATGACAATCCATAAAAAGATGTTGTTGACTCATTCTTCATATAGAAACAACATCTTAAGCTACCATTCCAATTCCGTCTTGCTAAATTATCCTTAGTCAACACCACCCCTTTAAGCAGGTACCACATAAAAACCTTAATCTTAAGCTTCCAAATTATCTTATTTCTTTCAATATAACCATTATTAATCAAAGCTAGATACATTGACCTTACAGAGAACCGTCCATAGTGATTAAAGTTCCATGAAAAACAATTAGAAGACTGATTCAACTGAATATGAACAATAGAAGCACACAAAACATGCCAAGATACAAGGTTCTGACCAACCAAAGCTCTCCTAAAAGATACATTAAGCGGAACAGAACCCATAACACTAGCAATTGAGTTCTTCCTTCTAACAATAGCATATAAAGATGGATACTTATCTTTGAAAGCCACATTACCTAGCCATTTATCTTCCCAAAATCTTGTTTGTTCCCCATTATTCACAATCCAAGAACCCATATTAAAGAAAATACTCTTGACTTTCATGAGACCTTACCGAAAATGGGAATCACCCTATTTCCTATCAACTTGGGTTATAGACTGATTATAAAGATATTTTCTCTTCAATAAGTCCTGCCAAACCCCTTGCTCATTTATTAACTTAGACAACCATTTACTGAAAAGACATTTATTTTGTATCTCTGGATTATAAATCCCCAAACCACCCTGGTCTTTGGGTTGGCAAATAATATCCCATCTAACAAGTCTGTACTTTTTCTTATGATCATCCCCTTGCCAAAAGAAATGAGACCTTTAATAATCAATTTTTTGAAGAACCCCTTTTGGTATCTCAAAAAAAGATATCATAAACATCGCTAAACTTGAAATCGCAGAATTAATCAACACCAATCAACCCCCAACAGACATATGTTTGCCCTTCCAACTACTAAGTTTCTTCTCAATTATTTTTTCAATAACTTTCCAATCATTGTTACTAAGGTTTCTAAAATGCATTGGGATACCAAGATATTTGATAGGTAAGGAACCTAATTTATAACCAAAGATATTAGAGTACTGATCAATATAATCCCTGGCCTGACCAAAACAAAATAATTCACTTTTGTGAAAATTAATTTTCAATCCAGAAAGCTTTTCAAACACAGATAAAATTAATTTCAGATTCTTTGCTTGTTGTAAATCATGCTCCAGAAAGATGATGGTATCATCCGCATACTGCAAAATTGATAAACCATCATCTACTAAATGAGGAATTACCCCATTTAAAATGCCAGCATCTTTAGCCCTCCTAATTAGTAAAGCAAGCATATCAGCCACTATATTAAAGAGTATTGGCGATAGAGGATCTCCTTGCCTAAGTCCCTTGTAGGTTTGAAAATTATTGCCAATTTGATCATTCACTTTTATACCAACATGACCCCCTGAATAAAAGAAGCTATCCATTGACACCACTTAGGAGAAAAACCTTTCATTCTCAGTGTCTTGTTCAACAAATGGCCACTTAACCTTATCATAAGCTTTCTCAAAATCAATCTTAAAAATTACACCACTTTTGTTTTTGCGATGCAATTCATGCATAGTCTCATGCAAAATAACAACACCTTCCATAATATTCCTACCCGGAATGAAAGCAGTTTGAGTTGGACTAATCACCTTTTGTGCCACACACATTATTCTATTCGTAGAAACTTTGGTAAAAATCTTGAAACTAACATTAAGTAAGCATATAGGCCTATACTGCTGAATTTTAATTGCCTCAACACACTTAGGTAACAAAATAATAGTACCAAAGTTGAGAGAAAATAAAGGAAAATAGCCATTATGAAAGTCCTTGAAGAGATCCAACAGATCATTTTTTATGACATTCCAAAAAACTTGCTGTCACACCCTAAAAATCCCAAATTTATAAATTGTTGTTTAATTGGAATTATAAGAAATGATTATAAAAGCCTAGAAGAAAAGATCTAACTTTAAATAATAAATTCCAATATAAAAGTGGGCTAGATAAAATTTTATTAAATACTTCTTTTGATTCTATAGTTCGTAGATTTTTCGGGGATTTATTTGAGCCAAGGAAGTATTTTTAACAAATGTTATTGCATTTCATGAATAATTTAAAAAGAAAAAGGTTTTAAAAATCCTCTTTTGACTTTGGGCTGAAAGTCGGCCAAAGTCTTCCCCTCCTTCCCCTCGGCCTGCTCGCGCTCGGCCCAGCCGGCCCACCAAGCCGACCCGCCCTCTCTCCCTCCTCTCTCCCGCTGACAGGTGGGGCCCACCTGTCAGGGTCGTCTTCCTCCTCTTGCTGCCAGCTGCGCCCTAGCCGCCGCAAGCCGCCGCCACCCCCTTCCAAAATTCCGTCGCATCTTTCCCGATCCGATCAAATTGATAGAGGGGAAATGATCCCTTCGATCTCCACTATCTTTTCCCTTATAGAAACTTCGGCTAATTTCGTTTGGAAATCGTCGGATTCGAGCTCAATTCGGATTCGATTTTTCTCCCCTAACCCTAAACTTTCCATCGCCGTTGCCGGCCACCGTGGGCCTAGCCGCCGCCCCCTAGCCCCTTTAGAAGGACCCCCGGACCTCCTCTTTTCGTCGCCACCCTCGACTTAGCCCGCCGTCTCTTGTAGCGCCGCCTCCGCGTTAGCCCGTACGTCGCTGCCGCCGCTGCCGCAAGTCCAGCCATGCGCCGCCGCCGCTCCGGTCGTCGTCGTCGCTTGGGAAGGCCGCCGTCGGGTTCGCCAAGTCGTCGTCGTCCTCGTCCCGTCCTCCGTTTTCGCTGAAGACCGCAGGAGCATCACCGTCATCGTCGATGCGAACGCCTCCGCCGCTTTGACCTCGCCGCTATCGCCGTCCGTCGCCATCCGTCGTCGTCCGTGCCCTCGGTGAGTTCGCCGCGTCACCCTCTACCCGTTGGTGCCCTTCGTTTGCGCCACCGCGCCGTCGTTCGCCTGCGAGCACGAGGTGCCGAGCTGCCACCGGCGATGACGTCATCATCGACGTCAGCGCCCCGTCAGCCGTAGACCCGCGGTAGAACGGTTAGATCTCGGCCGTTCGTTTTGGTTAGATTAGATCTCGGCCGTTCGTTCCGTAGACCGTTTCCGTGCACCCGGTCCACCGTGAACCCGAGCCCGCTGACACAATAAATCCGTTTTCCTTTTCAAAAATAATTCTTTATTGCATCATAATCTAATTAAAATCTATATAAATGCTTTAATCCGATTTGATCTTTAAAAATTCATAACTAATTCATCTTAGCTCGGATTTAGTTGGTTCAACTCTCTAAATTTTTCTAAAATTGTGATCTACATGTTAAAAATATCCACATGTGCTGTTTATGATTGTTTATGTACTGTTTTGGTGATTTTGCTCTTTTATGCTTAGATTCCGACGTTCCCGGAGAGTCCGAGTTTGCAGGAGAAGATTTTGAAGAGTTCCAAGGCCAGCAAGGCAAGTCACACAGATCCCAAACAAACCTTTGAGCATGTTGATCCCATTTAA